AGCTTCCATTCTCCCCCCTCCAGAGGATTGTCATTGGAGATGCCTCAGAGACGGCGCTGCTGAAGTTCTCCGAGATCACTCTGGGGAACGTCATGGAGTACCGGGAGCGCTACAAGAAAGCCTGTGAAATCCCCTTCAACTCCACCAACAAATTCCAGGTCAGCAAGGGCCACATCCTGGCCCTGCCAGCTAATGCAGTGGCCCCCAGAGAGGGGGACAGGACCTAGGTGTTCTGACTCCAAGCCCCCTGCTCTAACCACTAGATCCCACTCCCCATCCCCACAGCTGTCCATCCACGAGCTGGAGGACCCCCGGGACCCTCGGTACCTGCTGGTGATGAAAGGGGCCCCAGAGCGGATCCTGGAGCGTTGCGCCACCATCATGATCAAGGGGCAGGAACTGCCCCTGGACGAGCAGTGGAAGGAGGCGTTCCAGACGGCGTACATGGACCTGGGGGGCCTGGGAGAGCGGGTGCTGGGTAAGGGGGCGTGGCTGGGGGAGGGCGTATGGGGCAAAGGGACATAGATGGGGGTTGGGGGAGGGCATGTGGGGCATGGAAGGGGAGGGAATGCTGGGTAAAGGGGCGGGACACAGCCATAGCTTGCAGCACCTCCCTCCCCACACCCTGGGTCTCTAGGGAGGAGGAGTTGCCCTGGGCATGTGGAACCAAGGTGGGGTGCTCTATGTGTGGGGCCCATGGGGCCAGGGCAGGCGAGCCCCCAATGTGTGGGATGCAAGGGGGGGTTCCCAGGCCTGAGGGCAGTGGGGGACCCCCCAGTGCCCCGCCCCTCACAGGCCCTGCCTGGCTGCGCCTCCCCCTCCGCAGGGTTCTGCCACCTGTACCTGGACCCGGTGCAGTTCCCACGCGGCTTCTCTTTCGACTCGGAAGAGATGAACTTCCCCACCAGCGGGCTCTGCTTCGCCGGCCTCATCTCCATGATCGACCCGCCCCGCGCCACCGTGCCCGACGCCGTCATGAAGTGCCGCACTGCCGGCATTCGGGTAGGGCGCCACTGCCCAGGGAAGTGCGCAGCACTGCAGCACCTCCCTCCCCACACCCAGCTGGGGCACCGCCCTGGGGAAGCTCACAGCTCTAGAGTCCCTCCCCCACCCAGCTGGGGCACCGCCCTGGGGAAGCTCACAGCTCTAGAGTCCCTCCCCCACCCAGCTGGGGCACCGCCCTGGGGAAGCTCACAGCTCTAGAGTCCCTCCCCCACCCAGCTGGGGCACCGCCCTGGGGAAGCTCACAGCTCTAGAGTCCCTCCCCCACCCAGCTGGGGCACCGCCCTGGGGAAGCTCACAGCTCTAGAGTCCCTCCCCCACCCAGCTGGGGCACCGCCCTGGGGAAGCTCACAGCTCTAGAGTCCCTCTCCCACCCCGGCTGGGGCACCGCCCTGGGGAAGCTCACAGCTCTAGAGCCCTCCCCCACCCCGGCTGGGGCACTGCCCTGGGGAAGCTCACAGCCCTAGGGTCGCTCCCCACACCCCGGCTGGGGCACTGCCCTGGGGAAGCGCACAGCACTGCAGCATCTCCCTGTCCAGCTGGGGCACTGCCCTGGGGAAGCTCACAGCCCTAGGGTCCCTCCCCCACCCCGGCTGGCGCACTGC